TCCCTTCATGGATCGTAAGTATTCTCCTAAGGATTTTGGTATTTATCCCCCGGTAAATGCTTTTGTCTTAACCGAGGAAGATGCACAGAAGTTAATGGAGTACGTATTTGACAAAACCGTTAAACTTCAAACCGTCAAAAGTTCTAACAGAGTTACATAAAATTTTGGAAATGACTCGATGTTCTACCTGGGCTAATTTTGATGTGGTTTGTGGCTCACATTGTGTGCCAAATTGAAGGGTTTTTTAATCGGTATGGGGTGATTTCGATGCAAGTCATGTCGAACACAATCGCCGCAATCATGACATTCGTCATTTTCTGTTACCATTCGGTCATTCTGTGGTCGACCAATTTGTTCAACTATTACTTTTCGTTCAAGATTAATAAGGACAATTGTGCAATTTTCAGTCAGTTACAAAAGCAAGATAAAGGATTGGAGTAAATAATTTTTGGTCGGATCTTGCTTCACCGGCTGGGGGATAAATTTCACACCTCAGAATGTGCCAGCGAGCAAAACGAAAACGCTCCTGAAACATCTTGAGGCTAACAAGAAGATTGAGAGACAACCATTATATGTCCTTCAATACACCGATCAGCAACTTGTTGATAGAGTTTTGCAATCAAATAATTTTGGTCATATGACGAAGGAACAATGGAAGGCTTCGGATGTGAAAAAGGATACCTGTGTGAATGACGTAGATGAGAAAGCCACCACAGAAAACTGAGAGGTATTCTTTCCCTTTCTAACATGAGGCAAATCCAAGGGGAACCAGGAAAGGTGGTTGTTGTTGGAGCAGATACTACAGATACGGATTTTATTTTCTATAAGTTTGAAACAATCTTCATGATACAAAATGTGTTAACCAAGGAAATCAAGACGATTACACAAAAACGTAAATGTTTTCCACCGGATGCATGTGAGGCAAATCAGACGCCATCTATTCTGAGATTGAGCATCTCATAAGGCAAAGCTTGTGGAGAAGAAGTGGGGACCTCAAACATTTCGTCTCCAACCAAAACGCATCCATCCTCGTTGCAACCAAACGATCTTCATCCAACTGACTCCTTATTTCTTGATGTCTGCAAGGGTCGAAGCCAGCCACCAGTCTCCCATCGATCTGTCAAAGTTTTCATCTGGAAACAAAATAGAGCCTGCTCCGGCATCAGTCCCTCTTCCCTCAGCCGACAAGGAGTCACGTCCTTCCGGTAAAGACAAAAAAGGAAAACCTACCATGGATGTTGTTGACACCCCACCTCCTCCTTTGAAAAGAAAATGTGTCCCTTTTAAATGGAGTCTGGCGCAATGTGGGGCCAAAAAGATTTGCATCAATTCTGACCGCCAAAATTACATGATTGATTCGACAAAGGATTGGTTTCCTGACAACCTAGAGGTTGATAATGTTCATGCGCTTCTCTCAGAGGTGGTGTGGTCAAACAAGTTTGAGGAGGTTTTGAATTCGCTCAATTGTGAGGAGCTTCAACAAAATTTTGTTCGCTATCACCAAATGGTTATTGATGTTGCCCACCTCCAAGCCCTGACCTTCGATGAATCTAAGTAATCCTTAGCCAAGGTCGGGGATAAAGTGATAAGTTTAGAAAACTAACTAAAAGAGGGGAAGCGGAGCTAAAGAATTGTTGAAAGCTAGCTCAAGCTTTCACTTGAAGGAAGCAAAGATGATGAGCCAGATTGAAGGAGAAATTGGATACTGGCAAAAGAGAACGAGGAACTAAAAACGGTCTTGACGAAATCGATAACTCAAGAGGAGCATGTCGCCAAAATTTCTCTCCAGTTTTATAGCAACATAGCATTTTATTTTATATCAAAAATAATTTTCTTTTATATTTCATTTTGTTTGAAGTTTCTTATAGAATAATTGAAAATTTTATTCTTTTTCTTAATGATAGTTTTCAATTATGCAAATTTTTTATATTATTATGTCAGATTAGTCATTTATGTAATTATAATTCAAGCAGCTCAAGTAAATTTATGTACACATAAACGACAACAAAACAAGTTGTGGCAGACATGAAGTTCACAACAGAAGATCATACGATAATGATGTTAGAATTAGCAAATTTATAAGATAGATAAAACACAAAAGAACTACTCTCTCATTTGGTTAAGCTCTGTATCAAAGGGTAGCATCTTGAACAAAAATTAACTATTGAATATCTTCACAATATACAAAAGTTATTCATCCATGTTGCCCTTGGAATGTCACCAGAGTATAACATGAATGGTAGAGTGCAGATAAATACTTCGTTAATTGCACGATATTGGCAACCTATTAAACTAACTTATACCAAGACACATGAAATGATAATGCCGACACACATTCAACAAGTGAGTGTGTTGGCAACATCATTTCATATATCTCAGCATAAGTTTAGTAGCTCGCCAATATATTGCAGTTAACTGAGTATGGGTCTGCACTCTACAATTCATGTTAGACACTAACGACTTTTTAAGGGCAGTATGGATGATCAACTTCTGCATATTTCGAAGGTATTCAATGTTTAATTTTTGTTCAATTTGTTGTTCTTTGTTAGTGAGCTTAATTAAATGAGATAGTGAATGATTTGTGTTGTATTCATCTTATAAATTTAGTAATTGCAGCAATATTTGTGTATGATCTTCTGTTGTAAACTTCATGTCTACCACAAGTTGCGTCATGTTATCGTTAATGCGTACATCAATTTGTTTGAGTTGTAAGAATTATAAAGACATAGGTGCTAACCTAACATAATAATATAAAAAATTTACATAATTGAAAACTATTATTAAGAAAGAGAATAAAATTTTCATCATTCTATGAAAAACTACAAACACAATGAAATAAAATTTTCATCATTCTTTTTACATCAAAAATAATTTTCTTTTATATTTCATTTTGTTTGAAGTTTCTTATAAAATGATGAAAATTTTATTCTTTTTCTTAGAGATAGTTTTCAATTATACAATTTTTTTATATTATTATGTCAGATTAGTCAATTATAATTCTAGCAGTTCAAGCAAATTCATGCACATAAATGACAACAAGACATAAATTGTGGCAGACATGAAGTTCACAACAGAAGATCATAAACCACAATGTTATTAGAATTAGCAAATTTACAAGAGGAATATAAAAAATATTAACCACTATCTCATTTAATTAAGCTCACTAACAAAGGGCAACACCTTCAACAAAAATTAAATATTGAATACTGCCGAAATATGCAGAAGTTAATCATCCATACTGTTATTAGAATGTCACTAGTGTCTAACATGTATTGTAGAGTGCAGACACATACTCAGTTAATTGCAAGATATTAGTGAGCTACCAAACTATCTTATGTGTCGGCAGTATCATTTCACGTGTCTCAGTATTAGTTAGTTTGGTAGGTCGTCAATATCGTGCAATTAGCAGAGTATTTGTCTACACTCTACCATTCATATTATACACTGATGACATTCCAATGACAATATGGATGAATAATTTTGTATATTGTGAAGATATTCAATATTTAATTCTTGTTCAAGATGTTACCCTTTAATACAGAGCTTAATCAAATGATAGAGTAGTTTATTTGTGTTGTATGCATCTTGTAAATTAAATAATTCTAACAACATTGTAATTTATGATCTTTTGTTTGAACTTCATGTTTGCCACAACCTGTCTTGTTACCATTTATGTGTACATGAATTTGCTTGAACTGCTAGAATTATAGTTACATAAGTGACTAATCTCACATAATAATATAAAAAATTTGCATAATTGAAAACTATCTGAAAATTTTATTCTCCTTAATGATAGTTCTCAATTATGCATTTTTTTTATTTTATTATGTCAGGTTAGTCACCTAGGTCTTCATAATTCTTGCAACTTAAACAAATTGATCTAATCAAAAACGATAACATGACACAACTTGTGACAGACATGGAGTTCACAACAAAAGACCATACACAAATGTTGTCGGAATTACTAAATTTACAAGATGAATACAATACAAATTAACCACTATCTCATTTAATTAAGCTCACTAACAAATGGCAACATCTTGAACAAAAATTAAACATTGAATACCTTCAAAATATGCAGAAGTTGATCATTCATATTGCCCTCAGAATGTCACTAGTGTCTAACATGAATTGTAGAGTGCAGATGCATACTCAGGTAGTTGCAAGATATTGGCGAGCTACCAAGCTAACTTATGTTAAGATAAATGAAATGATGTTGCCAACACACTCACTTGTTCGATGTGTGTCAGCAATATTATTTCACGTGTCTAGGTATAAGTTAGTTTGGTTGGTCACCAATATCGTGCAATTAGCGGAGTAGTTACCTGCACTCTATCATTCATGTTATACACTGGCGACATTTCAAGGGCAGTATGGATGAATAACTTATATATATTGTGAAGATATTCAATATTTAATTTTTGTTCAAGATGTTACCCTTTGATACAGAGCTTAACCAAATGAGAGAGCAGTTCATTTGTGTAGTATCCATCTTGTAAATTTGATAATTCTAACAATATTATGATTTATGATCTTCTATTGTGAACTTTATGTCTGCCACAACCTGTGCCTTGTTGTCGTCTATGTGTACATGAATTTTCTTGAGCTGCTAAAATTATAATTACAAAAGTGACTAATTTGACATAATAATATAAAAATTTTGCATAATTGAAAACTATTATTAAGAAGGAGAATAAAATTTTTATTGTTCTATAAAAAAATTCAAACACAATGAAATATATAAAGAAAATTATTTTTGATATAAATACAAGAAAGAAAAAGTAAATGAATGTAAACCTTACGATTAAAATATGGAAACCATAAAACTTATCAATGATAGAGTGCAGACGCATACTCAGTTAACTGCAAGACATTGGCGAGCTACCAAACTAACTTATGCTGAGATAAATGAAATGATGCTGCCAATAAACTCACTTGTTCGATGTGTGTCCGCAATATCGTTTCATGTGTCTCGATATAAGTTAGTTTGGTAGGTCGCCGATAGCATGCAATTAGCGGAATATTTGTTTGCACTCTACCATTCATGTTATACACTGGCGATATTTCAAGGGCAGTATAGATGAATAACTTCTATATATTATGAAGATATTCAATATTTAATTTTTATTCAAGTTGTTACCCTTTGATACAGAGCTTAACCAAATGAGAGAGTAGTTCATTTGTGTTGTATCCATCTTGTAAATTTGATAATTCTAATAACATTGTGATTTATGATCTTCTGTTGTGAACTTCATGTATGCCACAACCCGTGTCTTGTATCGTCTATGTGTACTTGAATTTGCTTGAGCTGCTGGAATTACAATAACATAAGTGACTAATTTGACATAATAATATAAAAAATTTACGTAATTGAAAATTATTATTGAGGAGAATAAAATTTTTATTGTTCTATAAAAAACTTCAAACACAATGAAATATATAAAAAAAAATTATTTTTGATATAAATACAAGAAAGGAAAAGTAAATGAATGTAAACGTTACAATTAAAATATGGAAACCATAAAACTTCTCAATGATCAAGAGTGGAATTAGACATAATTGTACATTGATGCAAACGGAAAGCTTTTGAGCTTTCTTAAAGAGAGAAAAAATAATTTTCTTTGTAAATGTAACAATATAGATATAGATATATATATATATATATATATATAATCAGGAAAATTATTGCTAAGATGATTATTATGCATAAGTATACATTATGATTGTTGAGCACAAGTGATTTAATATTTTATTGAATGTTTTAAATCCAAACTACGAGAGAATATCTAGAAACACCATTAAGAATGATTGCATAGATATCTTGAATTACCTTAGATAATGCTAGTAGTAATGATATTGTAACTAATTCTCTTAAAGACAATTTTCAAACTATAGGGAAGTTATATTTTTGTGGTCATTTCTTTCATGTCAGGTGTTCAGCGAGCATCTCGAACATAATTGTTCAAGGTGGATTGAGGGATGTTTAATAAATTATTCTTAGAGATTCAATTAAATACTTAAAAAAAAGTATGAGATTATGCAAGTTTGTTGGGCATCTAAATAGCTAGATGTTCCTAATTCAAAGAATTTATCTATTGAGATGCTTACAAGATGAAACTCTACTTCTATATCCCTACAAGATAAACTCTATTGATGGTCGAACATGAACAACTGAACTTTCAAACAAGCTAAATATGAAAAGGGGCTTGGCTTGCTCAAGCTCGACTCATTTACAACCATACTAGAGGGCTATGTTTGTTACCATATGTCATCAACGCAAGAGTGAATCATTGTCAATGCAAGAGCATAGTGGCATTGACCAAAGGGAGGATGTCAAGTGATTTCATCCAAAAGATCAAGGCATCATAAGGGTTGTGTTTAGGGCTACCAAAAAAGTTCCTTCGCGAACAGCACGCGCTTGTCTAACAACACGTGCTTGTCGGGCTAAATAACTAATGTCTGATTCATTCATTAAGCAAATGTGACAAACACAAATAAACTTTTATTCGATTGTGTTCGGCTCGTTTTGACTTGGATTAATTAAGTCATTCATATATAATATTATTATAATATTTTTATATTAAATTTTTATGTTGCATTTAAAAAATGTTATATTCTATTATTTTTTAAATAATTTGAGTTAATTTCAAGCTGAACATGAGTTTAAACAAATAAACAAAATTTTAGTCGTGTCGATCAAAAACAAGTTATTCACAAGCAATTTCGAACCCGAGCCCACTTCGAGCTAAAAACCGAGCCTACTTCGAGTTAAAAAAAATTCCAACGAGCTAAACACAAACAAACAATGGTCTCACTCAAACTCGACTCTTTTACACCCCTAGTCGTTTTTTCCATTGTAGATAATCATAGGGGCGGGTGTAGGGTGGGCGTCATTATGCATGTAGAGCAAAGAGCACAGTCTCAATATCGCGGAAGGTGGAGAGTATTTTCAGTGGTCGCACAAAATAGAGGGCAAGGGTAACATGATAAGTAGATATCCAATTTAATCGTAGCATTACATCAAATTAGGCTAGCGAGATTAAAAATGATAATGGCAAAATCACGATAAGTTACTACCATGAAAAAATTAGATGTTGTAGTAATTATCAAACATGATTACAACTGTAAAATTAATGAACTTGGTCCAAGTTTATTTGACATAAGTGAATTTATTGCCCCAAACTCAAATAAAGCCTTGTCAAATGTTACTACTGATTTAGGACTAGTGTCAGTCATTGATAGATACTACAAAGTACAAAAACAATATTAGCATGACTGCAACATCATAAATTATGATTGAAGCGACTAAAGCTAAAAAGTAATATCGTCTTATTTGTACTTTGTATTAAACTTTTTATTTTTACTTCCATGAGATTTTTAACGATCAATCTTATGCTAGAACTCTTCTGCATTCTCTTCTCGTGCAATTCCAAAATAAATTATTTTTTATTCTTCAAAGTTCGGCCTTTGATTTAAGACTAAAAGATAGCATAAGAAAACAATTATCCACAATTAAATTACATGTTTTAATGCGCTTAAACTGACTATAATAGGGGTTGCCCTTAGGATTTTGATCCTAATGATTTAGATGTTGATTTTTTCTGGAACCTCCACTTTGTTGAATATTTGCATTGATCAAACTATCATTATTCTTCTTCTTACAATCTTCAATCTTTAGCTTAGTATGTATGACTTGATCCCTCAACTTTATCTATGTTATACATTTGACAATAAATATATTCTACCTCATATCCTCCCTTAAAGTTGTAAAGAAAAAAAAATCTTCCATTTATCTTTCATTCTTCATGTCGACCAATGGAAAGAACAAATATAACAATTTGAATAAATTGAATCTAATATTTTTTAATAGTGTTTTATTTTTGCTCCATTATTTAAATCATTAATTATTTTTGCACAATATGCCACTAATAAACTTTTCTCCAACAAAGGCCTCTAGAAATTTTCCAAAGAATTATTGCAAAAGTCCAAAACTATTGCGATGATGGATATTCTAACAAACAATGCCTCCACAAAGTTGAAATATTGTCAAATCTCACTTATACTCTTTAGGGTCTCATATTTCAAGTCACAAGGCCGAGCAGTAGGTTCTATCGAACAAATTGCTCCATTAAATATAAGAAGAAAATCTTTCAAGAATTGCTCCTGTGTAGCCGAATATCCGGAAGACCAAATTCAAGTTAGCATTGTTCACTAAACTCACATGATGACTTGACTACCCAATCCAACAAACTTTGCGTATTGGCAAATTCATCCAATCAAAAAGTAAATATCTATTTGTCAAATTGGCTTACTTCAATCATTCCTCTTCAACTTAGAAGATAAATTTCTCAGTCAAAAGAACTTTATCAAGCTATAATTGCAATAGAATGACTTGTATTTTATTTTTGATAAAGCATAAATATATTCAATTATGTAATGAGCATCAATTTAAACCTATAAACAAGGAGTCAATTTTGGAACTCTAGTTACATAACTTCTTTCACTTAAATCTTTCAATAAATAAAATCTAAAAGCTTCTCCAGCAGCAAATATATGTTAAGTGTTGTAATAAATATTATAGAAGATGCATGATCAAAGCTTCTTTCTTCTCGATAGAGTATGATATATAGGAACAAAATTTATACCATTCTTATCAAGGTAATGTACATATACAGATTTAAGAGTTTAGCAACAACTATTAAGACTGTGCCAACTAAATCTCACATGGCGAAACAATATGATTATAAAACAACCACAAAGGTGTAAAAAACATGAAAGACATAACATAATGTATAATACGATTTATTAAATATTCAAGTAAGCATACAATAATTGTTATTGAAAACATCTATAATAAAGAAAAGCATGCTGATATTCTCATAAGTAAAAATTATCTGCCTAAAGAAGTGCAGTCCGAAAATCTAATATTCAATTGAGATACAGGAAACAAAATAAAAAGAAGATCAATTGAAAAAAAAAACTAAAAAATCTAGATTGAACGAATACATGAACTAAACCATGACCAACAACTAGTAACGTGGAACAATTAACTGAAATTATATGCAATCATGAATAAAATTAGACCACACCATTAATTCACAAGTTAATTAGCTACCACAACCAAAATAATCACAATTTTGGGATCATCCTTATGGCATCACAACAACTAAGCAAACATAAGAGAAATAAATAAAAAACTAAGCAAACACTAAGAAAATCGAGGAAAACTAATCAAGTATAGAAGGAGCACAATAAATTGAAGAATATGAAAATGAAGACTTACCTTTGGTGACATTCTAATCTTGAGATTTATGCCAACGAACATAATGAAGAGCAAAAAAAAAGAAGGCATTGATGACTCTTACCAGTAAGAGTTGCAGGGACGGAAAAAGTGGCGGCACAAGAAGATGATAAGGGTCACACAGGCCAGCGACAACTAGAGCTAAAAGGAAGAACTCGAACAATCATACTTCACATGGTGAAGGACGAAGTCGATACTGAAAATTTGAGATTTTGAGTGAGTAAAAGAACTTGAATTCGTGGTCTCGTGACATGAAGAAGAAAGGTATGTAGCTAAACCATAATTCAACTCCCATGTTTATCCTTCTCGGCTTCTTCTTACTTGACAATTTACAGAAGAAAGGCATGTACCAAAACCATAATCCAAATCCCATGTTTATCCATCGCGGTTTCTCCTTACTAGGCGAGGTTACAGAAAATCTAACTCGGTGTCCATTCTGATATAATCCGAATCATAGATCAGCTTTTTTTTTCTATTTTTTTATTTCAGTTTAGGTCTTTAATTAGGTAATTAGGGACAAGAAAGTTTCTACCACACTTTTGAATGCAAAACTGTACAACCGCCCTTGCTTGGACAAATTGGACAACTGGATTTTATTCTACTTATCAGATCAAGAATTTTAAGAGGTTCCAATTTTAATTCATAAATATTCCTCTCAATTTAGAATGAATTAGGAGAAGAAACCATAACGAGATGAAAGTAAGGATGAAGCAAAGAACAAAAAAATGAAGTACCAGTGGAAGGCGTTCTGCAGCTCTTTCTTCCAAGTACTTGGATGGAGTACAGAATCCGCCATATGCTTCTCCCAACTTTTTGAGCTTTGAGAAAATGTAGGTAGATCCAACCGTATCAGCCCAGAATACTGACCGCTCCTTTACATTAAGCAAATAATATTAGATGAGTTCCTAATAGTGAAATGAAAAATCTGAATGTTAAAAAATCATATGTAATTCCAATCTCTAGTATCATCATCACGATCATTCGCCTAAACGAAGGCAAGCAGCGGAGACATGCACCACCGTGGTACAAGAAACAACATCCGGCCAACATCCTGATCCCTCCTTCCGCCTCTCTTCTTCGATTGAAGAGAGAACTCCCATCTCTCCTTAACCTGCCCCGCCCTAAATAAAGTAAGGGAGGCGAGCGGCCTGGCGGACGGAGAGGAAGAATCGGGAGATTTTGCGGAGGGAATATCTGATTTCTAACCAAAGAAGAGGAATGAGATACCGAATAGCAATGCGTTACCCATCCGAAACTGTCTCCCACGTCCGCTTCATCTCTTTTTTTTCTCTTTTTTTTGGGAAACATAAAATTGTTCAAGTAACTTCTTAACAATATAAAATTGTTCTAAAATTTCACCTTATAAAGTTTTTCAATGTCCCTCTCTTTATATTATAATAAGGAAAAAAAATTATATACACCCGAAATTTAAGAACAAGAAAATCGCTCCTTTCTCTAGGGTTGTAAACGAACCAACGTACTCAACGTATAATTTAAACTCGACTCGATAAAAATTTAAACATGTTCGTTCAAATTAGTAAATAAATAAGCTTGAATAATTTCTAAAAACTCGAATATTAAATAAATTAAACATGAACATAGTCTAACTTGTTCATTTATGTTCACGTACAAACTCGTTTGGTATTCAACAAATAACTTTTTAAAACTCCATATTAAGCTTAAATGTAACCCGTATTATATATGATGTATTATTAAAATAAAATTTAATTAATTATTTATTTATTTATATATTTAAAAGAAATATATTATTTTATCAATAATATTTTTAGATTAATTATTTATTTATTTTATTATTAATTATTAACTACTTGAAAATTAACATGATGGATTTCTGAAATTGAATATTACTTTTTGTTCATTCTTTTTTTATGACGGTTGATCTTATTGTTTTTTATTTTTGTCAAATATTTCTACAATTGACTCGTGAATAGTATCACACTATGAGTTACTTTGTACTACTAGTTCATTTAGATTTTTTTTGCACTTGATTCAATTTTTTTTCTATCTTAGAATTCAATCTTATAAGAATATATCTATTACAAACCCTGGATGACAGCATGTGAGTTAGTTAATTTGTTTATATTATTTATTCAATTACTTGAATATTAAATAAAATAAACATGAACATGGTCAAACTTGTTCATTTATGTTCACGTACAAACTCTTTTGGTACTCAACAAGTAATTTTTTAAAAACTTCATATTAAGATTAAATGTAACTCGTATTATATATGATATATTATTTAAATAAGATTCAATTAATTATTTATTTATTTATATATTTAAAAGTAATATATTATTATATCAATAATATTTTTAGATTAATTATTTATTTATTTTATTATTGATTATTAACTACTTGAAAATTAACATGATGGATTTCTGAAATTGAATATTACTTTTTGTTCATTCTTTTTTTATGACGGTTGATCTTATTGTTTTTTATTTTTGTCAAATATTTCTACAATTGACTCGTGAATAGTATCACACTATGAGTTACTTTGTACTACTAGTTCATTTAGATTTTTTTTGCACGATTCAATTTTTTTTCTATCTTAGAATTCAATCTTATAAGAATATATCTATTACAAACCCTGGATGACAGCATGTGAGTTAGTTAATTTGTTTATATTATTTATTCAATTTTTTATTTAGATTTATTAACCGCTTTTTTATAGTTCTAATATGTGAATCTAGACCGTTCAAACTTTTAGCTTGTTTATTAACTCCTTTAAATATTCGTTCAATTATTATAAACAAATTAAGTTCAAGTTGAAAAAAATAACAAGCCAAGCTTGAACAATAAGTGAAAACTCGACACAAGCTCAAGTCGAATATCAATAACTTATAATTGTATTCTCTTTAATGATAGTTTTCAATCATGCAAATTTTTATAATATTATGTAGGACTAAACTCACATGCTCTTGTAATTCTAGCAGCTCGAGCAAATTGATATACACATAAATGACAACATGACATAGCAAGTGGCAGACATGAAACTCACAACATAAGATCATAACGACAATTCACCAAAAAAGGTCATTTTACTTTAACCCGTGTAAAACCAACATTTGTGTGTCACAACTGCATATCACCAAAAAAATGTCATCCAGAAGATCCTCATAAATTGCTACACAAAAAAAGAGAAGAATTTAGTTGTCATCATTAAAATTTCACATGTGACACTAACCAACAGTGATCAACAGACCATCCAGAAGAACCCATAAGTTCAAATGTCTCATCATGGACCTCTCAAACTCACAAAAAATGAAATGCAAATGGAAAAAAAAAATGATGACAACCACCATGAAATATGTGAAATAAAAAATATCAATAATACAAGTGATAAAGTAACCACGACCCACAAACCTACTCCAAAGCCACACCCAGAGATCCTCAAACCAATACCACAAAGCCAACCACAACCACCAACCCAATTCACTGCCACCACAGAACCACAAAGAACCACGATCCACAACCATCACCACGACCTACAACTCCACAAAGCACAACCCAACCCAAAGAACCACAACCAATGCATTATATTCTCTCAAAGAAATTTTGGTGATGTTTTGTGGTGTAATGCTTCATTCCATGAAGTTTTTGTGTGTGAAAAGAATTTCTTTTTACCAAAAGCTTTGAAATTAGGTTAGCATTATCATGATGAAACAATTCATGTATTTGTCTCCTAGCGGTGGTGACAATGATGATCATCACAAAAGTAATTATGAGGCATTTCTTATAGAATTTTTCAAACTAAACACAAGGCCTATCAGTACATAATATCCTCTAAAAGAAATTTCGTGATGCTCTATGGTGTAATGCTTTCACTTCATGAAGTTTCTGCATATGAAAAGAAGTTTTTTTTACCAAAATATTTGAAATTTGGTTAGCATTAGCATGATGAAGCAATCCATGTATTTGTCTCCTAGCAGTGGTGACAGTAATCATGGAAATGATAATCAATGCAAACTTACTTTTGAGGCATTTCTTATAGAATTTTGCAAATTAAACACAAGGCCTGTCAATGCATAATATTCTCTCAAAAAAATTTTGTGATGTTTTGTGGTGTAATGTTTCACTCCATGAAGTTTTTGTGTGTGAAAATAATTTTTTTTACCAAAATCTTTGAAATTTGAGCAAGATGAAGCAATCCATGTATTTGCCTCCTAGCAGTGGTGATACTGATCACGACAATGATGATCAATGAAAATGTAATTTTGATGCATTTATTATAGTATTTTTCAAAGTAAACACAAGGCCTATCAACATAATATTCTCTCAAAGAAATTTTTTGATGCTATGTGGTGTAATGCTTCACTTCATGAAGTTTCTGTGTGTGAAAAGAATTTCTTTTTGTCAAACTCTTTGAAATTGTGTTAGCATGAGCATAATGAAGTGATCCATCTATTTGTCTCCTAGTAGCGGTGATAGTGATCATGACAATGATGATCAATGAAAATGTACTTTTGAGGCGTTTCTTATAGAATTTTTCCAAGTAAACACAAGGCCTATCAATGCAGAATATTCTCTGCAAAAAATTTCTTGATGCTCTATGGTGTAATGCTTTACTCCATGAAGTTTTTGTGTGTGAAAAGAATTTCTTTTTACTAAAATCTTTAAAATTGGGTTAGCATTAGCATGTTGAAGCAATCCATGTATTTGTCTCTTAGCAGTGGTGACAGTGATCATGACAATGATGATCAATCAAAATGTACTTTTGAGGCATTTCTTATAGAATTTTTCGAAGAACAATCAAGGCATACCAATGCATAATATGCTCTCAAAGAAATTTTGTGATGCTCTATGATGTAATGATTCACTCCATGAATTTTATGTGGGTGAAAAAAATTTATTCTTACAATAATCTTTGAATTTGGGTTTGCATGAGCATGATGAAGCAATCCATGTACTTCTCTCATAGCAGTGGTGACAGTGATCATGACAATGATGATCAATGAAAATGTACTTTTGAGGCATTTCTTATAGAGTTTTTCAATGTAAACCCAAGACCTATCACTGCATAATATTCTCTCAAAAAAATTTCGTGATGTTTTGTGATGTAATGCTTCACTCCATGAAGTTTATGTGGGTGAAAAGAATTTCTTTTTACCATAATCTTTGAAATTGGTTTTAAATAAGCATGATGAAGCAATCCATCTATTTGTCTCCTAACAGTGGTGATAGTGATCATGGTAATGATGATCAATGAAAATGTACATTTGAGGCAATTCTTATAGAATTTTTCAAAGTAAAAACATGGCCTATCAATGCATAATATTCTCTCAAAGAAATTTCGTGATGTTCTGAGATGTAATGCTTCACTACATGAAGTTTATGTATGTGAAAGGAGTTTCTTTTTATCATAGTCTTTGAAATTGGGTTTGCATGAGCATGATGAGCAATCCATCAATCTTTTTTCAAAAAAAACACCGAACTTTGTGGCAACAAAGAAATTATAAAAGCACGTTGAAGTGAAATGCTCTTCACACTGCATAAATTGATCCCCCTTTTCTGCTCTGCAAGATTGATCTCATAAGGGCACAATGGTGCATGCACGCCTCCATCACAACAATAACATCACTGTCTCCATCACAACAAACAAAAGATGAAACACCAATGCCAAAAATTCATTACCATCAAAACAATAATATCATTGCCTCCATCACAACAAACATGAGGGCAAACACCAACACCACTGCTTCCATCACTGCCATAAAAAACCAAAAAAGACATAAAAAAAATCCAACAAAGACATCAACATCTAACAAAAATGATAGACAAAAATTTTGTACACGAGAAAAGATAGAGAAGGGAATACCAGAGTCATGAATAAGAGTTTAGGGAAGATGAGGAAGTGAGAGATCGCAAAGGAAGCAAGAGTCCGTACCCTTGGTTAGTGTAGACGACAAAGCGAGGAATCACAAAGGGGCACCCGCGGTAATAGATAACATAAGAAACATAATTGCGGCCCACATTTTACTTAAAATGCCCCACGATGCGCCTGAACTGCCGCCCAAACAACTCGAAACCGCGACCCAAAGTTGCACCGTGCCCCGAACGCCGCCCCAAACGGGGCCTTAATCCTTCATTTATACACAGAAGGGCATTACTTATGCTTAGGCATGTCTTAATTTTCTTCTTTTACCTGACCATGTTTTTGTTATTTTTTTATATCGCTGAACAAGTGGTCGTGGG